GCTGTTGCTGCTCTGCTGAATTGGGGATGACCTGTGGGTGGAGGTTTCTGGTCCCCACAGCTGCTGGTGGGTTGTCTAGGAGGGAAGATGTGGATTAAGTTACCCAGAGAGATGGCACCAAATGACAGAGGGAGCATGAGCTGTCTTAGACTAAACTGGCTGATGAGGTATTTGTGCCCAGGACAGCCGCCACAGGGTCTCAGCTGATGGTGGACACATCCAGGCTGGGGTGGGAACCTGTAAGAGACTTTGAGTTCTGCCTGTGCCCAGGATATCCCAGTGGTAGGCATGAGACTGAGGGAAGCGGAACAGCAGACAATTTGGTCCCTGCTGTAGCCAAAATGTGGCCTGTGAAATTTCCTGGCTGGTGGGTATGGGGCTGAGGAGCATAGACTGGGGACAGCTCTGTGCCAAGAAGGTGGGGCAGGTACAGAAAGAGAAACAGATGCCTTAAAACCCTGCCGTATTAGTTAATCCTTCTGCCATGGAGCCTGGCAGAGTGGAGGGCCAGGGCTACTGAGGCTGGGGCATTGCCTCCTACCCACTGAGAGCTGGGCATGGAAGTTACCACTTGCTGTCCCCCATGCCTGTCTCATGGTCCTTTGTCATCCCTGAGGACTGAGTCCCTTGGGGAACAGCCAGGCAACACCAAGCTGTGGCCTGGGGCAGTCCCGGGGAGCCTGCCCCAGGGAGTGTGCGTCCCTTGGACTGTGCTCTAATGCAAGACTTCCCTCATCAGAAGTCCTGCATTAGAGCGTAATCTGGCATTAGCACATTAATCCAGTCCTCCCTGCTGCCCAGCCCCTGTCCTCAGCAGAGTCGAGCCCAAGGTCTCAGTGTACAGCTGGGCAGGAGTGGCACCAGGACACAGGCTGCCCAGCAGCCCTTGCTTGGGCACCAGAGACCAGGTGCCAGCAGGGGCAAGGCTTGGGGCTCAATCGAGAGCATCTGTGGGTCTGAGGAGGGCAGGGTACAAAGCTCCCCATGGGGGCATCCAGGACCTGAGGGAAGAATAGTCCAGGCTGGAGGGGTTTTCCATGGCAGGACAGCCCCAGCCCTGAGCACTCTGGCAAAGGAGAAAGCAGCCCCTCTTGGAAGTCCCCTCCCCTTGGGGGGGGCTTCATGAGGGGTTTTGGGGCCCGACTGCCTGCACCTGCAGGCTCCGGCTGAGCCTCACTAAGTCACGAAGTGCTTTGCAGGGAGCCAGGCCAAGGAAAGGTGGCGTCTGGAGAGGACATGAGTCAGCAGCTGGGGGGGCCGAGCCCAGGAGCCAGAGCAGGAGATAGGTGGGAAGTGGGAGAGCTGGAGGGGGAGCAGGGATGGGCAGGAAGGCAGCCTGCATCCCTTGGGCACACATCACCTGCCTGTGCTGTGAAGGCTCTTCCCAGCCTGACAAACGTAGCAAGTGGCAACATGGCTCTGATAAAACAGGAGAGGGGCTACTCCATCTCTGCTCTGATCCCCTCCTGTGGGGCTGGGAGGCTTTGGCGGAGTTGCAGGGGTCCCCCCACCATCCTGGCAAGAGGCTGAGGGCAGGGCAGGGCTCAATCCTGCCCTCCTGCCAGCTGAGCAAAGCCAGAAACAGAGATAGGTTTTTTGTTTGTTTGTTTTTAAGTAAGAAAAAACCCTTTCTGCCTTTAATGACACGGCAGCAGCAGAAGCTGCCAGGCCACGTGCTCTGCTCCCTTGCCCTTCCCAGCACAGGCTGAGGCCTTTGGGTCTGTCTTGCTCCATCTCATCCCGGGCAGGGCACTTGAAGCCTCCTCACAGGTAGGTCTGGAGCCCGGGGGTGCACCGGGCCCATGCTCCCTGCTGCCAGCCACCTAGGACGAGCTCCCCACCCGGCTAGCGCACCCCGCTGCAGGAGACGGCGCTCCCCCATCAGCACCCCAGTTGGGCACCCCCGGTGGGGGCCAGGGCCGGTGCTCTGCGGGGAGCCGCGCTGGGCTCGGCCCTGCTCACCCATTGGCAGGATTTTGCTGCAGTCTGCTCTGAGCCGGCAGTTTTGGTGACTGAAGAAAGCAGCGCTGCTGGTGGGCTGGGTCAGCCGGGGCTCTGGGGAGTGGGGAGGCAGGGTTGGACGGGGGGGAATGCTCTGTCGCCCACTCCAGTGAGCACAGCGTGGGGTGTAGGGGCTGCTCCCAGTGGGACCTGAGGATGGGAGTGTCCCGAGTTGCCATGGTGACACTGGCTGCACCCTCAGGCAGGTGGGAGCATCGCTAGTGCAGTCCTGCATGAGTGTCTCCCCCACTTTCCCTCCTGGCTGCTGTTCCTGGGGAGTGAGGGTCTGGTTCCCAGCTTTTGGGGTGGCACTCTGGGGACAGAGGAGGGGGACCGTGCCAGGTGAGCTCAGAGCAGGGCAAGGTAAGCCCTCAGCTGCAGCCTGTTGCACTGGGGATGTGCAGAGGTCGTTCCCCTCCTAAAAAGGTAACTTCCCTTTTTCCCCAGGATGTCCAGCCTCCCGTCCAGCAGGGGCCCGGATTGCAGGGCAGGGAATGAGGAGAGAACTGGGCTCACCTGGGCTTCCCTGGAGCAGGTACTGGCAGAGGGACAGGAGCTGGATGGAAAAAAAGCAGGTACGGGCAGAGGGACAGGAGCTGGATGGGAGCGGGGGCAGATACTAGTGACCCACATCTCTTAATCCGTGCACTGCTCTGCGTCATGCAGTTACCTAAGCCCCGGACCACGCTCCCCCCCGTGGGGATTCAGCCCCCTGCCCCAGCTCTGAGGGACTCGGTTGTGGCCAGCCTCCTCATTTTGCCCTTGCAAGGCCAGGTTTGGGGGGAGCATGTCTCCAGCCTGAGTGCTGGTTGTATGGGGGTAGCTACTCCTTCTCCCCTGCCTCACTTCACCTCCTGCCATCCTCAGGCATCAGAGTACAATGCTCAGGAACCACCCCCTGCCCCCGGGAGGGACCCTCCCCAGTCCCTGCAGCAACTTTCCCACACATTGATTCCCTGCTGGCAGCATCAGGCCCCTCATTCCACAGTTTGAGCCCTCCCCAGGAGACACTGACATCAGATCCCCTTCCCTTAAGCTGATTAGGGCAGTGAGGATGTGTCCAAGCAGATGTCACCAAGGCGATGAGAGTGACCAGACCCTGGCGGGATGCAGAGTGGGCAGCACAAGCCCCCAGATCTGGGGGATGTTCTGATGTGAGGGGTGCAGGGGGAAGGGCTGGGGGCTGCCCACCCAGTCCATGGGCTAGGTACTTGTGTGGCACCCCCCTGCACAGCTGATCTGATCCCTGCATTAAGCCTGGCTGCCAGCCCTGGCACCCTGCACCTCCAGTGGGGGTGAGATGGGCAACAGAGCCCCAAGGTGGGGGCAGGCAGAGAGCAGTCTCTGAACCCACACCACCCACCACGGGCACCAGCGGCTCCATGGGCACGTTTCTGAAGCTTTGTTTCCTCACCTCCGCACCAGCCTCACATACGAGGCCTCCCTGCTCCTGGCACAGCACAGCCCAGCAGGGACACCCGCTGCACGACCAGGATGTGATGGGCCTCAGTGCACTGCCCAGAGCTGGTTAAACAGGTCTCTGTGGGTTACAAGACATCTGGCTTCTAGCATCCCAAATTCCTCTGGATCATGGTAGGGTGGCAGACATCTCCAGCTGCATCTCTTCTTTGCCTCCAGCTGCCCCATCCCCTTGCCAGTCTGGGAAGAGGGTACATGGCTCCCCTGGAGGGGTGCCTCAAGAAGTCAAGAGGTTTCCAGTTCTGCCCCACCTCCAGGGATCTGTAAGAGCCAGAGGTGATGCCTGGAGAAGAAGTGGTGCAGCAGCGTGGCCACAGCGTCCCCACCCCAGCCCTGCAGATACTCTGGCTCAGATGGGAAGGGATTTGTTGGGTGGTTTCCCCTCTTGTCAGCTGCCTGCAGACACGAGAGGACACAGGTCACAGCACCTCTGCTTTATTGAAGACCAGTCCCTCCCCTCAGCCAACGCAGTCCAGCACACCCAGCTCCTCTGCATCCACTGGGCCAAAGTCCTGCTCTGAAGGATGGGGGCACCTCCTTGGACTCAGAGGGAGAATGCCTTGGTGCCCAGGCCTCCCAGCCATGCTGTCATCCCTTCTCCTGCTCCACCTTCCACCCCACATTGTCCCTGGGGAATGTCCCCACCCATGGAGGGTGTCCCACCAAACCCTGCACAGGAGAGGATAACGCCACAGTAAAACTGGAGCATTAAGCTTGGAAGTGACCATCAGGACAGGGGCTCGTGTGCATGGTGTCAAGGACTGTCCTGGTTTGCTCTGTGGTCCTCTGGCACTGGGGAGAGGGCAAAGTTGCCCAGGCCAGGCTCTGCTGCCTCCAGGCTCTGTCCTTGCCCTGAGGGCTGGCAGTACCCCCACACCTGACCTTGCCACCTCCAAGCTTAGAGGCCTTCCCTGGGCAGGAGTTGACCCATAAAGGGCATCTGCTTTCCAGATAAAGGCTTCCACTGAAGTCTGGAGGAAACCATTGACAAGAGGTATAGGAGGGATGGAGGAAAGGAAGGATTTGGACGCAAAGGTGAGGGACCAAGAAACAGCAAGGAGGGTCCCCTTTTCCCTGCCCAGTAGGACCCTTACCCCTGGACACAGATGCTCTGGGATCCCAGCTCCTGACTCCTCTACAAGAAGAAAGGAGGGCAGGCACAAGCTGGGGGCAAAGCTAAGGACATTCATGGGGTAAGTGGCATGTTGCAAAGGAAGGGGGGGGGGGGGAGCATGGTCCCTGCCAGGAGGAGAGCCACGTTTTTTCCTTCCATTCACATCCCACTTTAGGTATCCAGGTTTATTCCCAGGATCATGGATTCCTCTTCATCCTAAATTTAGCTGGCTTCCCTCCTCCAGCCACCCACATCAGGGAACCAACCCAACTACCCTGCAAACACCCCTTCCCCCCACCCCCCGAGCAGGGCATGATCCTGCCACCCATTCCTCCCTGATGAGCTCCCCAGCTCCACAGCCCCATACTGCCAGGGACAGGGAGGTCCGCCTGGCATAGCCAAGCCTCTAATGGTAATGGTTGTTCATGTTGTTGAGGTGGGATGCTGCCATGGCACTGAACGAGGCAGAGGGCTGGAGCCCATGCCCAGGGTAGAGGGATGGGCTGGAGCCAGGCCAGTAGGAGAAGCCAGCCGGCGTCACCCCCGAGGTCATGAGGTTGAGTTTGGAGATGCCTGAGAAGGGCAGTGGAGCCAGGTTGCCCTGAAATTTGTAGAGGGTGTGATCAGGGGTGGCTGGCTGGCACACCTGCGCCAGCCCATGGAAGTCGAACTTGTAGGCGTAGCGTTTGCCGTGGACCTTGGTCATGATGTTCTTGTCGTAGTAGTAGCGCAGTGCACGGCTCAGCTTGTCATAATTCATGTTGGGTTTGCTCTTCCTCTCACCCCAGCGCCTCGCCACCTCGTCAGGGTCGATCAGCTTGAACTCCCCGTTCGTGCCTTCCCAGGCGATGCAGTTCAGGTTGGCCCGGTCCGAGAGCAGCTCCAGCAGGAACTGCCACAGCTGGATCTGCCCACTGCCTGCAAGGCCATGCCCCAGAGAGGTTAAAGCTCCCTCTCAGGGCACGAGGAGCAGGGCAGGATGTGCCTGGGTCTCTTCAACTCCCTGCTATGTTGTCCCTCCCGGACCCAGGTTTCAGATGCACCTCGTTGCATCTTCCCTGCTCTAGAGACACAGGAAATGGTAAGAAGCTCCTGTCTCCTTTACAGCCCATCCTGCCCCCAAGCAAGAGGAAGAGAGGATGCCCCTGCACTTCTGCACAGGGTTAGGAATGTTCAGAGGTCGACACAGGCTGCAGTGAGCTTGGATCCAGGGTCCCCGTGTCCCTCCCACCCTCATTCATACTCCACTGGAGATGAGCACCTGCTCATTTGCTCTCGTGTGAGGATCTGGACTCGTTCTTTCATCTGCAGCCCCAAGAAAGCACTATCTTGGCAGTATCTAGATCAATTCCCAGCACCAATATTCCTCACTGCCACCTCTGCTTGAAACTGAGTTAGTGTCACAGCACAGCCCCTGCCCATCTCCAAGAACAGTTTTTCTTATGCCCTGCACGGATGACTCCATGGTGAACTGAAGTTGGGGTGCAACATTGCTCTGACCGGCACCCCTGGCAGGTGCAGACAGACAGGTATAAGGGAGGGAGAGACCAGGGAAGGGCAGGGTCTGCTGTAGCTTTTATTCAAGGAAAAGTGTCCTCTCTCAGCCATGGCCACTGCACCCACGGCTTGCATTGAGGAACACCCAAGATGCCCCTGTGCTTGGCCATGTCCGTGCAGGAGCCTGGCCCACCTGGACAAGCCCATGGTGAGGCACAAGGATTGGCACCACTGAGTCTGGCCAGAGGTCGTGAGAAGAGAGGACCCCTGCCTCTGGTCCCATCACCTTAGGGTGATGAACAGTCCCACCTCTGGGACCTAGTCACCCTGCAGAGCAGCTCTGCACTTACCTAGACCCTCCACTCCTCCCACTCCATCCTAAGCAGCACCACCTGCAGATCCCTGCTCCTGACCCTAACAGCACAGGCTCCACCTGCGGCAGAGGCAGTGTCTGCCTTTCATCCTCCTCCCTGCCCTTTTCTGCCACTATTTTGTCTAAAGGTGCTTGGATCCCATATAGAGGTTTAGCACCTATGACCCCTGCAGCAGACAGTCCCGCAGCTCAGCTACATGTCCCACAAAGAACCACTCTGTCCCACCTATTTTATCTGGTGTCCCCCAGTTCTTGCTCTGGAAGAAGCAGGACACAACTGTTGCCCATCCATCCCCATTCCACCAAATCCCTTTCAGTCACCCCAGTCCAGGCATACGAGCCCGGATCTTTCCAAGGTGTTCTATTTCCAAATCCCCCATCCTGGGACCAAGGTGTGGGGGTGTCTTCTCCCCAGTGTACAGCCACAGTCTTCACCTCTCCTCCACCCTTGCGGCCCCCACCTTGCACTCTTGCTATCCCCTACCCATCCCATCCAAGGAGGACAGGGAGGTGTTGGGGAGGGTGCAGCTGGGTGGGGTGGCGAGGCTCAGTCCTGCCTGCTGCAGGGTGCTGTGCTGCAGCTCCTGACAGCTCCCTGAGGAAACCTCCAGGGATCCAAAAATTGTTCTCACCACAGCATGCAGAGTATGGCTGGGGCAGAGCTGGCAATGCAGAGGCAAAAGGCCCCTTCCTAGTCCCAGCACTAAACCAGGGCTCCCCTTTTCCCATTCAGAGCACCCCCTGGCCCCTGTCTCCTTGCCAGATAGGCAAGGTACACAGCCCAAACAGCAGAGCACTGGCCCCGCTGCCCGATGACGAGCCCTGCTGTGGTCCCCAGCAGGGTCCAGGCTGCTGCCTGGCCAGCCCTGGATCGATCCCCAGGAATCCCTGGACAGCTTTACCCAGACGGAGGGCTCCGGCTCCCCGGAGCCCCTGCCCTGTCCGAGCCCCTGCCCTGCACCGGCAGCTCCCTGCCGGGTGGTTTCTCACCTCGTTTCCTCACTCCCAGACACGGGTTCCCCAAGCCCGGATTACTCCTCCCAGTTCCCGGGATGGCTGGGTGCTCTCTCCCCGTCGGATGTCCCCGGAGCATCGGAGAGACCCGAGTCGGGTCCTGCGAAGCTCCG